CACTGAAAAGTCCCGTTGGAAAAAAGTAAATTTTAACGTAAAAAGACGCTTTTTCTTAACAACCCAAATTTGAGTAGGATCTACTCATATTCGTCAAAAGTAGGGTATCAAAAATTGAGTAAACAAAGTTGAACCTGACAGGATGACGAATGGATAACATCGACCTGCACACCACGAAAAATTATTGTAAATTTCTGTTCCCTGAGACCGACACAAGTAAGCGGCCCTTTTGACAAAAGAATCAGTTGAAAGAAACGAGAAAATCAAGTCAATCAAACGTTCTCTTCGTCAACTTGCTTATGTTTCGGTTTAAGAACACTTAATTTTACATGAAATGTTTGTTTACGTTCCATGATTTACGTCTAATATGGATTACGTCTCGTGTAAAATTGGTTATTTCTAAGTGTGTGGATCAACCGTGACGTGACAGCACCATATTTTAGAGTTTTAATATGTCATGAAGTGAGTCAAATTTGCTAAAAGTCACAACTTTTTATCATCGATTGTATGTGAAACATTAATTCCTTTACATAATGCACAGATAGCTCATGTGGTTTAAAATGGCTAAGTTGTAATTATCCCGAGAGTACGCAAATGGAATAACATAGTTCCATAAACTAGTTTGGGTAACGTAACGTAACGTGGGTAGATCACCTTTTCGTGGTACGTTATGGGATGTAAGATCTACCACCGATTCCTACTGTGTTACCTGACTTATAACGAATATACGTTGTATACGAGTACCCTGAATACAACGTATGACTCGTCTAATTTTGCATAGCATTTGCAATGTAAAATTAGACGAACTATACGTTGTATTCGGGGTACTCGTATACAACGTATATTTGTTATGAGTAGGTAACACAGTAGTCTTGACTACTTCAAACTAGGGGAACAGGATTTTTCAGTAATCCAAGGAACACATCTTAGTTCTTGTTTCTTTTTATGCCTTGTTGATAGTGACAAGTCCTCGGGTGGCCTGAACCGAGGATGATCTTGAAACAAGGAAAAAATGAGTTAGTTAGTCTTCATCTATGTGATTCCTAATCTTCTATTCGTTGATATCTAGTTTGAAGTGGTTAAGACTAGGGTTCTGAATCAGAAAGGACACCGATAATGACCATGCATCAGAACTTCTGATGCATGGTCATTATAGGTGTCGTTCCTTAATTTTGTTGCTAAGGAATCCAATTTTGACTGACAAAGGGGCGCGCCTTTGGAGGGTGTTTCAACACTCCAAGGGGTATAAATAGCTGGACCTTTCACCTAGAATCGATTCCTTGCGATGAAGGCAAGAATGACAACTGTATCAAAACCGAACACTTCATCATTTCTCAATAGTGGTGGAGTAATACGACATGCACTAAACTAAGGACACGGGATATGTCGTTATGTACAGTAGATCAAATTACTGGTCGAAGTGGAAGTTTGGAAAAAAAACCTTAGAAACATAATTAGTAAAAAAAAACGCAAAAAACCGAGAAGTCCATAGAACTTCCAAGAAGTCCGTAAAACTTCTGAGAAATCAGTAAAATTTCCTAATTTTCTGTAGTATATCACTTCCAGAAAGTCTATATAATTTCGGAGAAGTTTCAAGATGTCTGTAGAGTTTCCGCAAAGATCGTAAAACTTCCGAGAATTCTGTAGAAGTTTAGAGAAATTCGTAAAACTTCTCATTAGAGGAATTCATAGACCTTCCGAGAGGTCCCTGGATCTTCCTAAAAAAACCTTTGAACTTCTGAGAAATCCGTTGAACTTCTGTGTAATTCGTAGAATACCCGAGATGTCCGAAGCACTTCCAAGAAGTCCGTATGACATCCAAGAAATTCATAGAACTTTTTTTTCAGCGCTCATTTCCTCGCATACTCGACTTCGTTTGCTTTTTCTGCTGGAGAGAATCGAGTCAAGTGTGTGCGTCGTTCTACCATGTTATACATAAAAATCAAGGCAATTGCTTGCTTGTGTAGGTGAAAGCATATATTCTTCATTCCTTTATTTAACGTCGGTCTCTGTTCCGCAATCTAGTGCCAATCACCGACGGACATCGATTGCCATCCATTGACGGCAATCGAATGTACAGGAAGGTAGCTTGCACACCTGCGTAGGATATCGCACCCATTCAACACACATGGGCCGGGACCAACGGCTTTACTTCGACGTGACCAGAGACCTCGGCTGGGATTGAACCCAGACCCATTGGGGTGTTAGAAAGCAGCCACGCTTACCACTACACCACCGGCGCGGGCTGGTGAAAGCATATGCAGAACACGGAATAAAAAAAAAGATTATAAATCATTGCATCGTCTGCAAGGTCAACTTTTTTTTCCTTGATTTGTTTTCCGTGCTGAGCACCAATGCTACCGACACCCGGTAGACTATACGGGGGCGAAAACGAACCACTTTTCTGTCAAACGCGATCCAGCTCGTGATTGGCCGAATTGAAGTGCGTAAGATAGAGATAGATATAGATATAGATAGAGATAAAAGAGTAAGAAGCCAGTTATCTCCTCTTCCTCTTAGGTTTAGGTGTAATAGCTTATTTTGAAATTATGGTGAGCCTTCGATAATCCCGCGAAAAATTCTGAATGGAAATATTACGTTCCGTTTTTTATCATCTACAAAAAAGTGATTTTTATTTAAATTCCGCGGAATGTTTTAAAGCATTTCGTTAGGTTTCGTGAAGTTCCACTTCCTATTGCATTTCGTTTCGGTAAAGAATATCAACAAATTTTCTTTCGCAAATGCCGCGGAATTTGTAGCAGTATAAAAATTTCGTTTCGTTTCGTACCGGAATGAAAAAAATCTTATATCGCATACCCGTAGTATTCAGACGTCAACCGCAGGTGCACGTCTAATGTTGCGAAATTTCAACAATGTAGGGGAAATGCAGATAATGTCGGCCTAAGTGTCCCTAATTTGGGCCCATACATTAATTCAGCAATCGACTAAATTTTCAATAGCAACCAAAAATATCCATTAGTAACGTCCCAATGAAGCGTTCATCTATATAAAATTGATAAATAGCAGATTTTTAGCGATCTTAGATCCATAGGCCAACATTAGAGACATTTCCCCTATACTATGAATTATCAAAAGCTTCCCGGAAATGAAGCTGGATTCTTTTGCACTTCCCACATCCCACGATGATGAATGACGAACGCAAAGACTCATTTTGAACGGTGGTTGGTTCCTTATTGTCCTTGATGATGCACAAACAGGCTGCCCCTGAATAGTGCGAGAAAGGTGCTTTCTCTGGTGTTTAGTGCCAACAGAAATCACCTCAGTTGTCTGGGAGATAGGTTGCCACAATATTCATGTGAAAGCTGTTTATAAGATACCAGATACTATTCATTCACGTTTCTCTCATCACTGAACAAAAGGTTGGTATGAGATTAGAATGCGTAAATGCGTTTGATATGCGAGGCCAGAAGCATCTTTACTTTCTTTTGATGAATATCGGTTATTTCGCAGTAAAGGCCTAAGCACGATACGGTTGCGGAAAAACAATAGTTGTCATTTTGTCGAAACGTATCCCTAACTACGAAATAACCACTGTTCTGCAAAGGAATCGAATAGGTACATTAGCAATTTGATATTGGTAGCGAAGGGGTTCGTAACATACATGAACCATGAACTTCGACAATCAACTTATATATTGTTCCTCTCGTAACGAACAGCCATAAACATGATTTACGGTAGCATGTGCTTTTCCTTGCAGTTATACTTTTTCCGAGATCTGGATCACACTTCCTAAGCTCAGATGAAAATAAATTGGCTGCACCGTAATATAAATCAACGCCAATCCCGTTCTACACGGCAAATGAATCTAACTCATATACGAGTCAAGTTCATTCAAATTCTAAAAAAACGAAGGTCACTCATAGAATGAGTAAATTTTTACTCAAATAGGAATAAATGTCACTCATGAGAGTACATGTCATTCAAACATGAGTGACATTTAATCATATTTGTGTAAAAATTTACTCACCAACGCTTTTGTGAATATTTGTCAAATATGAGTCAGATACATTTGCCGTGTACGAAGCGATGTAGAAAATAAATTTTATAACTCCTTAACCCGTTTCCACATTCTTACATACATTCATATATTTAACAAAGTATGTTTAAGGTTTTATTGCACACTAGAATGGTGCAACCATTCTACTCAATGCGGCAATCTCCGATGAAAAATTTTGATTTATACTCTTTCTGGAGTATGTTACGGCATCGTACGGTTGCAACGTCGGGGTTTTTCGAAGAAAATTGGATTCATACTTCAAGAAGCTGTATGCTTCGAGATTGCACGAAGCCAATCCTAATCTACCTGTATGATTTACGATAAACGCAGGTTGGTAGCATGCTTGTGAGACTTTTATGAGTGTTATATATGGAATGTACACTGTTCGTTTACCATGTTTGTAAACAATTTGAAAGATGAAGGATTGTTTGTTGTGTTCATTGAGACAGTTTAATCCTTCCTGTGAATGTTTCAACCCTTTCTTTTAAATGGTTACTTGAAATTAGTAAGAACATTTTTTTTATATTTTTCTCTGTACAACTTTGTCTCAGACGTCATTTCGATCAGAAGAGTCGTTCCCATGCTTAAATTTTATGAAAAATGTCCAAGAAGCAATTTTGAAAATTTTACAAGCTCCAAAATGGCAGACTTTTAGCAAAAATGTGAATCATTGCCCAACACCAACAATTATGCAAAGTTTACTGAAAATCGGAGAAGGACGAGTTTTTTCGATTCGTCATTTGGCGTGGAACTGCTCACATGCAAGTTTTCACTCTTTTGTGGGAAACATATGCCAAATAACTTTTTACAATCCTTGCTTTTTAAACACCACTAAAGTGTTTGTGTGGTTTAAAGGCAACCCTCTAAGCACCTTACAAAGATTTTTATACCATTTATCCCTAAATATCAGTTCCCACAGTCATTCAATTCAATGAATCAAGCGCTCAAAAACTTATCAATGCATTCATTTTCTCTTTCGCAGATAAAAATGTTCCTGTCACTAATGGCATCGTGCGCGATGCGCTTCGGAAAAATCCTACGCTTTCAATGCCTTACCATCCGTTTTCATTTATAAATAAAGTGTTGTCCCCGCACAGACTTGTGATAATAAACTTACCTGAAACGTAACAAGTGACAGTTCCACCATAGAAACATAGAAACAGCTAACCAACCAAGCGACAATGGATATCATGCTGTCCAGGCTGAATATCAGCCTGGAAAATGTGACGCTTAGTACGAGCACGTTCCGGCAGGGCCTCATCGAGCAGTTTAGCAACAACCGGAAAGTGGACGACCCCGCGTACCATATACTGATTTTCCTCTACAGTATACTGATCATATTCGGTGCAACCGGAAACAGTCTGGTGGTGATGGCGGTGGCACGGAAGCCACAGATGCGAACGGCGCGCAACATGTTCATTGTCAATTTGGCCGTTTCAGGTGAGTGACTATGTGGTTGGCGTGTGTGAATTAGTGGTTTGCTATAGAACTCCGTTTTTATTTGGACTGAGAGTGACGAATTGCAAACTAATTACTCGGAAATGAGGGGGGGGGGCGTATTTATACGTTTTGGTAATATGTAAGCATGCAGCCGGCATTCTATGGTCAGAAAATGAGTCTGAAATTCAGAGCAAATGCCATTATGGGGTGTTTACATCTCTGCGAATCTGCTAGCGCTAGTGTACTAGTCAACTAGCACGAGTTTCAGTTGCTCCTGAAATCTCATGCTGGTAGACGCTGATGCCCTGTTTACATTACGATGTTGAGCTTTTTAGCTAGCAGCTGGCTCATTAGCGCTAGTGAAATAGCATAAGTGTAAACACCCCATTATGGATTTACATGTTACATTTTACAGTTATTACTTGCAACTGGATATGTGGTAACAAACGAGTGGTTTTGTTGAGTTGTGCTGTGATATAAAATCTATAATTTCGTGTTTCGCCGCGGCACTATACACGGAAAGGATTATTCCAACGCGTGCCCGTTGCGTTTTTTAACATGCTAAATAGGAGAACGGTTGCCACAGCAGCTCGTTCTCGTTAACTTTGCATTTTCCCCCTAGGATGTTGTATAGTGAGCTGTGGCGGTAAAATTTCATTTTGTGTTCTCCTACTCTGTATATGTCTGTTGCTAGTAGTGATCGCGTTTTATTTGCTTGATGGATTTGTGGAATGCCTGTAATGATTCTATTACTATTAGTGGGCTCCCAGAAACATGTGTAATTCCGTGCAAGGCACAGTGGCGGGCCTCCATACAAACGTCGGACAAAACCTCATATGTTATCCGAAATGGCTTAAACTCACAGGTTAAGATGATTTTGGTATCCTGAATGTATTTCTGATATGAAACTTTTCATATATTTCGGTTTTATTATATTAGGGTGGTTCTAAATTATGAAAATCAGCTCATTTTGGGTTAAGTAATAAGTAATCAATAATAAGCTATCACGATGTGTTAGTTGAATGGAGATTTTGATTAAAATGGTTATTAAGGGGTTCTGAAATCATTATTGATATTGAAATTAACTTTACTTGTGTATTTTTTGCTCTTAGGGTGGTCCAAAACCTATAAAATCATATAAATTATTAAAAAAGTTCGATAACCTACGTTTTTCATTCAATGGATCGATTCAGCTACACACACATGTTAGCTGACAAAACTGATTGGTATTCTTAGGGACCGTCCATAAACCACGTGACATTTTTAAGGTGCGAACTCAGAGCTAAGTTAATGCTGAAGTTGATCTTATATAAGGATTCATTTCTTTTACGATTTACAATGGGATCAGATAGTCTCAAAATGTGAACTACGTAAAATGTGAACTGTCCCTTACCAATCTCATTTCAACGCTTTCATAAATACATGCTCCTCTGAGTGTGGGCTATAATATACATTGATCTTTTTTTCTCACTTGTCGAAGAGATACCATACAGCGCGCTGCAGCGAACAACAGAATGATGATACCTCATCTCATTTTACTTGTCGAAAGTGAAACAAATGTCAATATACATTCGCAATACCGAACGGAGTTGATAAACAATCATCAGTGATCGGTAAAAAGTAGAGTTCCAGCAAATACTTTCAAATTGTTAATCACTCTTTGTGTGGTTTAGTGGAAATGTGCTCTAGGAAAAACGGTATAGATAACACACAATGAAATTTCTAGTTATATTAGAAGTAATATTTGTTTATATTTTATAGAAGTTTACTTAAAAAGAAAAGACGTATTGGAGGGTGCTCTGAACTGTAGCGATGTGCGTGTAGAGCAGAAACGCAAAGCTGTCGACCAATATGTGTCGCGGTAGAAGGTCGTTTCCAAGCTTTTTAAGGAGTTTCAACGTAGATGGCAGAGTGTGAATCGAAAAAAGGATCAGTTTTTGAAGACCACTGAGCAATGGTTTGTAGTTATTGTTTCATGTTTTTTACGGTTGATTATTTTTTGCTTTTATTTAATTTCTTAGGTTAGAAGAGTTCGTCGTTTTTGGTGAAGCAACATCATCTTCAACAATGCGGAATGTAGGTGGTCGTCCTTCAAAAGATTTTGAAGACGTTTGTGATCGAACCAAGCGGCGAAAAACAGAAGTGTTGCGTAAATCATTTACTCCGCAAGAACTGAAATTTGCTGCAGGAATGGTTTTGCAAGCAGAAGGAAATACGGAATTGGCTTCGTTACTAAAGAAAGGCACCTGCACGACAAGCATTCCGATTGAGCATGCTTTGGCAATATATGTCGACGCAAAACTTTCGAAAAGAAGATACAATATCATTCGCGCACTCGTTAAAAATTTGTATCCATCTTATGAAAAAATATCTTCTTCGAAAAATGAGTGCTTTCCATCACTTGAGCACTTTGAAATTACGGAGACTGTATGTAACATTCAATTACAAGCATTGCTGAGCCACACTTGCTCTCGGTTGATTGTACTTGATAAAGATAAATTTGAAAATCTAGTTCCTGAAGGTTTCAACGATTTCAGCCTTTTACTAAAATGGAGCTGTGATGGAAGTTCTGGTTTTAACGAATACAATCAAAAATTTATGGATCCTAGCTGCTCCGATGCTCACATTTTATTTAACATCGGTGGTACCATTAAGATTTCTTACCGACCGGAAAGTAGTTTGGGATAACCCTCGATCGTCCTATACGCGATACTGTCGCCCTGTTTCATTGAAATTTGCAAAAGAAACTGTCGAGTTAACAAAACAAGAATTTGAGCGCATGAATGACGAAATTTCTAATTTAGAACCATTCGAATTAGAAATTTCAGGCATCAAGGTGTTAATCATATTTGATCTTATGTTAACTATGATTGATGGAAAGACTGTTAACGCCATCACCAATACAAAATCTTCTCAGAATTGCTACCTTTGCTATGCTAAGAGTTCCAATTTTAACAACATTGAAGAAATGTTCAACAGAGCTATCATCTCGGATAATCTGGAGTACGGTATGTGTAGCTTACATTGCTGGATCAGAACATTTGAGTGTCTGTTACATATAGTATACCGACTTAGCTTCCGAAAATGGATAAAAACTGCACATATGGAGGAAAAAAGTTTCTTCCAGCAACTTGGATTACACGTCGATAAGCCTCGTGCTAAATTTGGAAATAGCAACGATGTTAAGATGGCATTTTATAAGACTGAGTTTCTTTGATTTGCACGCTAGGATTCTTCAATATTAATACCTTTTACCTGTTAATATTCTAATCGTATCGTTCTTATTATCTACAGGTAACACCGCGAGACGTTTCTTCAAAAATGCTGAGATTTCATCTCAAATCACTGGAATTGATCTTGATCTTATCATTCGATTGAGAACGATTTTGCAAGCCGTTTCATCTGGAGAATCCGTTGACCCAGAAAAATTCCACCAATATGCAAAAGAGACAGCCAAACGCTATGCTTCTTTATATGGATGGTATAATATGCCTACAACGCTCCATAAGTTGCTTGTCCATGGGTATCAAATAATAAATAACGCATTGCTTCCTATTGGTCGTATGTCCGAAGAAGCCGAGGAAGCAATGAATAAAGAAATTAGGCAGCTTAGAGAGCATCACGCGTGGAAAGGTTCACGCAAGCAAACAATGAAAGATATATGTTGTGGATTGCTTGTTGCATCCGATCCCATTGTTTCAAGTTATCGCCATGGGCAAACGGTAGTGGCAGATGAATTGCCTAAAGAGGTGCAAGATTTGTTGATAGTTGAAGATTGCGATGAATAAATGTTAGTTTGTTTATAGAAATAAAAGTTAAATTTTAATAATTTTTTGGTGTCCCAAATTGATTACGTAATTGACTGTTTAAACGCTACTCAAACTGTTTATCAAAACTCTCAAATCACTTTTTTCTGGAATGAAACCTCTCCAAAAATAACTGTCTTAACAAATAAAGGCTAAATCATTCTTAGTCCTCCTCTCCACCTTACTGTTTTTTTACCTAATATGAAACACTCACCTCCTTGTGGTCTTTTGTCCGTAGAAAAATTCTAAAATTTGTTAGGGCCGTGGTCATGACCCCCTCCCCCTCTGCCCCTCCTCCTCCCCTCCTCCCTAAGACCACGTGGTTTATTGACGGCCATTTACCTACCAGAATAAGGATTACACTAAATAGTCAGTATTCAGATGGTAATTTTATTTATGTTAAGATAAAATACAATCTTCAAACTATTTTGCTTCCTCCACAACCATGCGTCTCCATAGTGACTTGATAAAAAAAAAAATCGCGCTTTGCGTAAAAATGCACAAAGAGTGGCCTATATACCCAAAAACTAGACAAAATTTCGCGTCAGATCCGAGATATGGCATCGTTTTCTGATGTTTCCTGTAAAAGTACTGGCTCTCCTTAATACTAAGTATTTCTCCAAAATTGCATATAAATCAATATTTTTGCACGCTGGAACTTGTTGCACTATAATTTTGCGAATGGATATCAAACAAACCTTGAAATGTTTTGGTTATTTATGCCCAAAAACACCTACAGTATTGTCAGATTATCCAAATTTTCCAATGTTTTACAACGAGCTCATGAAGAAAGCTCATAAAATAAAGAGAATAAAAATTGAAAAACTATCACACAAACCTCAACTTTGAAAAAATCCCCAAGACTCAATTTTTGACCAAATTACTTGAAAATTTGGGATTTTCTTAGTTGAACTATCTGTATTGAGAGAAAAATATAAGAAAAATAAAATAATGAAGTCAATTTTTGAGGTTTTGTCCGACTTCCGGCCACTGTACAACGGAACGTTCAACTTCAATTGTACGGAAATCACTAATAGCGAATTTGTTTTTGAACCTGGGCTAGCTTCAACCTGAATTCTGAACAAAAAAACGTTTTTGGGTTTAAGCAGAGACGATGTAAGAGACGAGCGAAGACTGAAACCAAAAATTCCAATCGAAACGTCAAACGCGGTTCCAATTGAGCAATGTAAATAAACACGAGCGCTTGACGAAGAAAAGCGTGAGGAGTATTGAGATTACGGTTTAATTTAATTGTTGAGATTTAAATATTGATAATTAAGTTTGCGTATGAAAAGTGAAATTGGACAGGGCTGGAATATTATTGTTATTCACCAGCTGTATTCTTGTTATTTCCTCACGAAATATTAGCACAAGGACAACGAAATATATCTACACAGGCTTTGTAACATAAATCAAGACGTTTCCGGTGTATTTTTCAAGATATTAAAATTTATAACGAGATAATCCGCATACGACACAATCGATCGAGATCAGCTATGGCAGATTATGCACGAGTACGGACTTCCGGATAAACTGACGCGATTGGTCAAGGTGACGATGGATCGAGTGATGTGCGTTGTTCGAGTATCGGAGACACTCTCGAGTCCATTTGAATCTCGAAGGAGGTTACGGCAGGGTGATGGACTTTCGTGTCTGCTGTTCAACATCGCGTTAGAAGGTGTGATCAGAAGAGCTGGGATAGACACGAGTGGCACGATATTCAGGAAGTCCATCCAGCTCCTTGGCTTCGCCGATGACATTGACATTATGGCAAGGAACTTTGAGATGATGGCGGAAACGTACATCAGACTGAAGGCTGAAGCTAGACGGATTGGACTTGCCATCAACACATCAAAGACAAAATACATGAAAGGAAGAGGTTCTAGGGAAGACAATGTTAGCCTCCCACCCCGAGTTCAGATTGACGGTGACGAAATCGAGATGGTCGATGAGTTCGTGTATTTGGGCTCACTGGTGACCGCCGAAAATGATACCAGCAGAGAAATTCAAAGACACATTATGGCAGGGAATCGTGCCTACTTTGGACTCCGGAGGACGCTCCGGTCGAGTAAAATTCGCCGCCGCACGAAGTTGGCTGTCTACAAGACGCTGATTAGACCGGTGGTCCTTTACGGCCACGAGACCTGGACTATGCTCGTGGAGGACCAACGCGCCCTTGGTGTTTTCGAACGGAAGGTGTTGCGTACCATCTACGGTGGACTGCAGATGGATGACGGAACGTGGAGGAGGCGAATGAACCACGAATTGCACCAGCTACTGGGAGAACGATCCATCGTCCATACTGTAAAAATTGAGCGACTACGATGGGCTGGGCACGTCGTAAGAATGTCGCACGACGATCCAGTGAAAATGGTTCTAGAAAGCAACCCAACAGGAACAAGAAGAAGCGGTGACCTGTAGACCCTTCGCAGACTACGAGGCTGGCGAACTGTGGCCATGGATCGAGTAGAGTGGAGACGACTTCTTCGGACAGCAGAGGACAACAAGGCCTTAGCCTGATTGGTAAGGTAAGTAAGAATCGGAACCAATCTAACTAAAAATAAGATTTAAGTAAAATAAAGGAGAAATTGTATTCAAATCTTTTATGCTTTTTTATGCAAATCTGTTATAGAATCTTACATTTTTCAGCTGGGTGTGCATACCGTTAGGTTTGATCATATTGCCTACAAGTTTTAATTTTGTCCTGACGCATTGAAATACCATTGGATTTTCTTCATTTCTGTATGATTTTATGTATGAAGGTAAAAATGAAACGAAAAAATGCAGTGTTCCTTATGTTTTTTGAGAAAAAAGGGTCTTATCATTTATACTTATCGTACCACACATATAATTGACTCGTTAACGCCGAAATCATAGATGTTTGTGATGTTTTCTGCTAGATAGGCCCAACATAAGCGAAAATGTCAAAGTAAATGTTTACCCTACATATGTTTGATCGAATATAAAGTCTGGAACGCGCAAAAATTGGTCAACTTCAAATTGGTGTATTTCTGTTTAAAATGCATAAAAAACCTGATATGCTGCATTTGGAAGTTGAGTGCATACACAATGGTTGATATGATGAGTTTTCACCAGTTGCTCTCAAGTTTTCAAAATGACGTCCAAGCAAGAGAAGCAGCGTGTTAAAATTTTGCTCGCGCGGCAAGAGAATCCAACGTTCTCTCACGCCAAGTTGGTAAAATTGCTGGATGTGGCCAAATCGACTGTGACAAACGTTTTAAAAGTGTTCAAGGAGCGTCTGTCGACCGCCAAAAAGCCTGGAAGTGGAGGCAATCGTAATCCAGACGTGGCACCGACGACGAAAAAACTTGGCGGTGAAATTTAAGCGGAATCCTAACCTCTCCATCCGGGACGTCACTGGCAAGCTCAATGTCTCCCATACTACTGTGCAGCGGCACAAGAAACGAGCTGGGTTGTCGACGCTTAAGAAGGTTAAGGTGGCGAACCGAAATTACAAACAAAACACATCGGCAAATCAGCGGTCCCGAAAGCTGTATACGAATCTGCTCACAAAGTTCGACTGTGTCGTCATGGACGACGAAACTTATGTGAAGGCGGATTTCAAGCAGCTTCCGGGACAGGAGTTTTATACCGCATCACGAAAAGGGAAGGTGGCTGAAATGTTCAAAACCATCAAACTATCGAAGTTGCCGAAAAATATCTCGTCTGGCAGGCCATATGCAGGTGTGGTCTAAAAAGCGGCATTTTAATTACTGCGGGAACAATCAATTAAGAGATCTTCGTCCAGGAGTGCCTGAAAAAGCAGCTGCTACCATTCCTAAAGCAACATAATAGACCTGTGCTGTTCTGGCCGGACTTGGTGAACTGCCACTATGGGAAAAAGGCAATCGAGTGGTACGATGCGAACAAGGTGGTTGTGGTATCCAAAGACCACAACCCTCCAAACGGCCCAGAACTCCGCCCTATCGAACGGTATTGGGCCTTGGTCAAACGGAATAAAAAATCTAATAAATCCATGGAAAACGAGCAGCAGTTTAAATATATCTGACGTTCGGCGGCGAATAAGGTCGATGAGACCACTGGGCAAAATTTAATGGAAGGGGCTAAGCAGTTCAGATTTGGCAAACCAAAAAGAATAAACGTTAATATATGAATTGAACTACCAAAAGAAAAATAAGAAGATTTTTGTGATATGAATTTCGACTGAAAGAAACGACATTTTTGTCGACCAATTTTTGCGCGTTCCAGTCTTTACTTCCGGGCAGTGAACAAGCATTGGCTTTAAAGGGCACCCTGGCGTACACAAAAGGAAATTTTTTCCCGACAGGAGCGATGGTGGAACCACCCGTGTGTGTCTACCTATTATAGAATACAATGGGGAAGCTCAGAAGAAAACTTTTTATCACGAACATTTTCTTCTGTTCCAAACCGATATAGCAGAAAAATTTCATTCCCGGAATTCAACACCATCCTTGCAGAAACTTAGGTATCTATATGTCACTAGGAAGCGGATGAAGGAGAGGGCGGCTGAGAGGAATTTTTCGAGAAAAGTGACGTCTATTATAGCGTCTGCTTTAGCTTTAATACACTGTTGGAAGTTGGATGGGAACGTGACACGTTTCAAATTAACATAACTTCATGGGTACTGCGGAAAAGGATTTTTATCCATTTTTAGGCCAGGCAGAAAACCTTCGTAGAAGGCCAGACGCGTTCATGAGGCCACTTAGCAGTTATGAATATTCAGATTATAGGTCTGGTTTTGGATGATTGTTTACCTTCTCAAGTTGTAACGACTTAGGTATCATCTGTTCTGGTCGGTTGGTCTAGGAGAGCAGATTTCCGTTATTTATAGCATCACCTGAAGATGAGCTTCTGCATGCATTTGGCCGAAGCGATGAAAGCAGTGGACCAAGTTAATTGGCTTGCCACGCCGATTTCACACTCTCGCATCTATTTTCCTTTAACCGTAAATTTCACCAGTAGAACGTGATGTTAGAACATGCAAACGAAATATTTTATCATTCTTCATTGCTCAGGCTTGGCTGATTTATTGTAGTTAAAAATATATACAAAAGGGGTGGGTGACACAACCGAATCCGCTGTCTCCCAACTTTTTTCGGCGCTCCGTATTTACTAGTCTTTTCCATTTTCCTTCTTTCCAGATCTACTACTCTGCCTGGTGACGATGCCGCTAACGTTGGTGGAAATTCTCACCAAATTCTGGCCCATGGGCCGGTTGCCATTGCTGTGCAAATCGATCGGAACCCTCCAGGCCACTAGCATCTTCGTATCGACCATTTCCATCACGGCCATCGCGCTGGATCGATATCAAGTAGGTTGAGTTGGGGGGGTTTGCTTGGGAATTTATTGGTTTATTTGGTACCAAGGTGGGTACATATAGGTGTTCTAATGTGTCAAATTCACGATTCAGCCATGTTGGATTTTTGTATGAAGGAGCGGCTGAGATTGTTTACAATTTGCTCTAAAACCACACTCCCTCCCCCCGTGATTTCCTCGTCCATATATAGACAAAGCTGTATCACCTTGTTATACCCACCACGGTTGGTACTTCGATGGTTCCACGTGCGTTCTCGCCGGGTGTTTACTGGTCTGGATTCTGTTGTCTTTGTAGAAGGATGAGTAGAAGATAAAACATTTACTCAATGTCAATGGTTGGGTGTCACAAGGGGAATTTTATTGAGGTGTGTTGCTTTTGGTGTGCATTTTCCATGACACTTGACTCAGAACTTTTCTATTGATTGAAATTTATTCAATTTGTAGTTCACTGACATAAATGGGTGCGTGATGTTAGGCATACACATTATGTGCATAATGTTTGATAATCATAATGGACACAAGTATTCATTCATTGAAAAATCAGAAAATAACCATTTCTTTTGCTCATGAGAAGTTAATTAAGAACAATCTTGTTCTTCGATTTTGACACAAGTAACACAATTGTACTAATAAATGAAAATAAATGCGTGATTTCTGTGATGCTTAGCTTATTTACCGAAGCACATTTCGCCAAAAAAAAATTTACCTTAAGCGCCCACCATACGAGTTAAAAGATTGTAAACACTGTTTTGTCAATAATGTTAATGCAAATATTGATGATGATGCCAATATTGCCGCAGAATAAAAAAAAAAAATCAGTTTTTCAATATTTTCCCTCATTTTCCCCTTCTCTTTGACTACAGCAGCAACTTTTGTCAGAAAGGTTGTTATTTGGCTCGGAATATTCCATCGCTTACACCAATTTTAGTGAGGAGCGGCCCTGTAGAGATGACCCCGTCAAAATATTGATGAAAATATTGACTTATTTTTTTTGTTATCAAATCTTTTAAAAGGTACTGTTATGTATCGAATACCGGACAATATTTGAATCCAGACATTTCATTTTTAATTCACTAGTCAACTTGATAATTACATTCAAAGAGTTTTTCTGTTACTTCATAAAGGGTGTATTCGATAAAAATGGCACACACATATTTACTCACCAAAATCAAACCGATTATCGGATTTTCTAGAAATTTTCAGGGAATGAAGCACTACTAATGAGTTATGATTTACAAAAATTGTTTTATTCAATTTAGCCTTCCATCCCAAATGCCTACACCTTCCTTTTCACTCCACCCATCAAATTTTGTACAACCGGTTTTCCCAGTGTTTTTGTTGTTTTTACCCATATTTTCTTCAAATCCAGCTCTGTTTTAATAGTTTTGGGATTCTTTAACTATATGTTTTGTTTTACTTCTGCGTGAAGTCAACAATTTACATAGTTGAAGATGCTAATTTCAAACAACAGACTAAAGTCGTAATTTTTATACGCTGAAATGATGAGGAGATGAAAGTATAGAGTTGATAGTTCTGTTAGAGTACGGCAGTGTGAAAATTGTATATAGAGAGTAGAAAGCGAGCAAGGAAAACTTTTTAGGAAGGTACAAATCGGTTTGATCATCTCTCTTTACCAAACTCCCCCATTGGAGAGGGAGGGTGAGGGGTATTCTCCTGGCAAAAAAAAGATGATCGCCGACTCGCTCATGTACCGATGATGTGTTTGAAACAGTTCTATCTATTTTACCGCACTCAAGTTGTTATCTGAAAGAAGGCATCCAATCGTAGGTTTGGAAATTGCAGGTATTGTTCCGTCTTCATAATTTCCCAGAATTTTTCAATTGGGCGAAGTTCCGATGAATTTGGTGGGTTCATATCTTTTGGCACAAAATTGACTCCGTTGGTTCGGTGCCACTCCAACACGTTTCGAGCGTAGTGGCAGGATGCTAGATCTGGCCAAAACAGAGTTGATCCGTTGTGAATGACAAGATACGCTTCTTAAGGCACTCTTCCGTGTAAATCGCACCGTTGATTGTTCCAGAAGTGATGAAGGGAGCGCTTATTTCACCACAACCGCAAATCGCCTGCCAGATCAGGAACTTCTTTGCAAATTTCAAGTTTCCGGACGCGGGTTTTCTCAGTGATGTTTTGCTTTTCATTCCGGTTTGGGGCTTTTTGCATATTGTTAACATGTAACCCAGCACGCTTCATGGTTTTCTGCACAAAACCGACTGACACCTTGGAATTTTTAGCGACATCTCGAATTGACATGTTTGGACGGTTCTTGAACTGTTGCACCACTTTCCTGGCCATTTTACTGTCCATTGGACCACTTTTACGATCACACCCTTCCTTCCTTGGGCCACTTAGACGCTCCTTGCAGGTTTTTGTCACATGAGACACAGTTGTATTTGCAATTCCAACCTTTTTAGCGATCCATCGGTGGGACGCCTCTGGATTTTGATTGTAAGTGCACACATTTTTTTGACGGACAATTTCTTGTTTCTACGACATGACTGGAACTACTGTTTGAATGACTATGAAACTTGACAGATGTAAACAATACACTATGAATAAAATTTACACAAATTGTAACCAGTTGGTTACAATCCGTGGATTTTCTTCTGTATGAGTTATTGTTGGTTGGGAAAATTCACGTTTTATTAAACCTAAAACAGTAGACACACACAAGAGCGAGAGGGTTTGTGCCGCTGCAAAGAACGAGAACGTTACTGAAGGGAAAAAAAATATTATAAAACATCTCGCACAAAAATGGTTGTGCGAAAAGAGGGAGAATGATAATTATTGGATAAAATGGGGAGGCCATCTTTCAGTGAAAGATTGTCCACAAGCAAACAGGCGTCCGTGTGCAAAAGACCGGTATTTTTAAGTGCAGTGCCATTTAGTGTACCTCCCTCCCCCTTGTGGGGTTTCTGGAATGTTGGACTGCCTCCGTTCAGGTAAATAGGCTTAAATTATTGTTATCAGCCAACCTGACGGAAATATTACCCTACAATAGGACCTCGTACCGTAAATAAAACGGTCTTACACGGCTCGGCTCGGAAGTCAAGATGGCTTCCGAGCCTAATAGTAAATTATCCTCAATCGTCCGTCAGGGACGATTCCCTCACACCGGTGGCCTTAATTGCCAAGGAGGGTCCCGTCTCGGCTCGACCAAGGTGGCCATGCCACGGTCAGTCGATGCCGTCAACGACGGAAGACGCCTGCCAGCCAAACGAGCCAGCAACGCCTGTTGAGCCACCAGATCCACCATTCTCCCAAAGTTGCACACGGTCTACAGCCCGCGCCGCAAGTTTCTGGCCACACGGTAGTGCAGGAGCAGCCGTGTGGGCCAACGCCAGCGTTGCGACGCTGTAGGAGATCCCGCTACAGCAGTGACTACAGTGCAAATTTTAAACCCTAGCATACATGCCACATATATGTGAAAACCCACACCCAAACGCCAAAGAATAGAAAAATAAATGTTAGAAAATGTGAATATTCCTGTGTGTTTCATACTTTGTCCGCGTAGCCCCTCCGAATACCCAGTAACATGCCGGCCCTGCGACACAGTTCAGGGGTCTCATGCAACTGAGTTAGTTACCCGGGAGTGTCTGGTCATGCCAAAGTCACAAAATTTTCAGGTTTTTACTCTTACGGTTAAAAAGTTACAGATGATTTTTGGTGTGCCAATTTCATCGAATACACCCTTTACGTGAAGTTTACAATATTCAGAGTTCGTTGGAAATGCTATTCTAATATTAACATGAAGCTTTAGTGTGATAATTTATTAACCAGACAAAGTTCTGTAGATGATAGGTTGAATAGAATTTGAAATTGAGTGAAGGGCCATTCGTGTATTACAGTATTAGTCAAACGCACACTCTTTTACCTAACACATACATTCATACATGATGAGGGGACTTGTTTTTTTTTTCCTAAAATCTACAAGGGGGCTGTTAATTGACTATGTAGACAGTTTATTGGAATTCTTAAACCCCCCTCCCCCCCCCATGGACAATTGCCCATTCATTTTTTTCGAATTTGTATGGTCGTGGTAATAGCCAACTTACGACCTTGACTGTCTACAAAGTTAATGAACAACCCCAGGCCTGTGGATTTGAACAAAAACTTTAAGGGCCCTTATTTATTAATGTATGGGTTAGGTAAAGGACTAGTACCACTAGTACTGTCGCATTAATGACTTCTATTGCATTTTCACACTACCGTACTCTAGCGAAACTATCAACTTATCCTCTTCAGAACTTTCTGTAGTTAATAAATTATCACACTTAAGCTTCATGTTGATATTAGTATAGTATTTCCAACGAATAATAATTATGAACTTGAGCTTGAGCTTGATTGACCGCCCACGGTTGCTACTCTGTTATTGCCAGATCAGCTGTAATTACACAGAGAACCAATAGACGATGCTTGGGACTAGCAATCATCCTCAATGTGTAAAAACTGGTGATCTTAAATTAGGCAATACCAGCGCCGGCCGCGCCCGAACACAGGTCAAGAAAGGAATGCGAAGGATTGTGTTGACATGACACTCGCTTTGATGGAAGCCGAGAACACCTCTGCACTTCCACGAGGAATCACTGGGATGTTGGATAAGAGGGTTGGGTTTGCAGCAGGGTTCGTTTTGGTAAACGATAAGCTGAATTGATGTCCTAACGATCATAAAACGCGAAGGAGCTTGGGACTAAACCCACGGTCTTTTGCTCAGTAAGCAAAAACGTTTGCCACTAGGCAGACGAGCACCTTTTTAATCACCGAGTTGCTGTTATTACCATGTAGTCATATTAACAAATAAAACGATTGACGAATCTTGAATGTGGATGGACCTGAGATTAGACTCATGATGTTCTGCTCAGTAAGCAAAAACGGTTGCTCTAAGGCCACCGAGCCCCTCATATCACATAATACCGTTGCTCAAATTTTTGTAGCCATTCAAACCCGGAACCAACGACAACAACGAGTTTCGCAAAATACACGATACACAAGCGATTTTACCATAATCTCTTTGATATGTAAGGACCTGGGACCGCGTTTTTCTGCTCAGTAAGCAGGCCACTGTAACCGACGATCTTTCAAATTCGAAAACTAAAAACTACGAAAAAGTACTTAGGCCTTCATTAAGTTCCACTTTCACGCGACGTTCAATGTTTCAATTTGCTCTTTACGTATTGTTCAGGCTATAAATAGGCTCTTTTCAAAAGTTACGCGAGAAATACGCACAATCGTCGCCTACCTCGCAAAACTGGTTCCAAACGACAACAAAGGCATAAGCAACGATGGATTGTTGAAGTTTGCTGGCTGGTGTAGTGCTGCTGAAAAAAGATAAGTCTATTATTTTGGTTAGTGATCGTTTGGATTTGGGTCACCCCTCGTTGTGTTTAGGTTAGTATAAATAAATAATACTATTTAGTCATATAAATCACCACAGCTCATAATCTTCAGCGTTATCGGTTTTTGTTTCTGGATCTTTAGTTGCCTCTGTAATATACTTACTTGCGGCATACTATTTTGGGAGTGTATATGAGCGTGTACCATGTACGGTAGCTCATCTCTCATCGTGATGGTGGGACATAGTAGACAAATTAGAGAGACAATAAGGAGGTATTAGTATTATTTATTTTATTTTATTTATTTATTTACTTTCGGGATCATTTCAGTGTTAGAGTTATGTTAGTTTTGATCCGTAATCAGCCCTGCTGACCCCTCCAACATTAGTTGCAGGCAGTGGTTGTTAGATAATGCGGCACTGTAACTACTACTATTTTAGAGGTATGATTCGTCAAGTTTATACAACTCAATGTTTCAATTGAGCCAAACTATCTATCTTACAATTACAAAAGCAAACCGAAACTTACAATTATATGCAAATGCAAAATGAAACATGACAAATCATCGTCAATCCCCTTATTACAGGGCAGGGCCTGACGATTTGAATCTAATTTAATTTTGATCAGTGAACGGGCACCATATGGTACATTTTCTCAACATGAACCTATCATTTCCAGCCTATCTGAACTTTTTAATAAATGGAAGCCATAACATGGGTTACGCTCCCGCTAAGCGGGCCCTCCGCATCCTGTCTCTGTCTTATCTCAAATACAAAATGCCAATGGTATGAATGTATCTATATATATTGGTCAGGCTTCAGAATCGTTCAGTGGGCAGTGCGCTCTACACTCCAAGTTACCTTTTTTTTCAAATTTACCGCAAATTTGATATTTTACCCATTGAGTGTTGATTAGTCACCATGAAACATTGTGACAGAAGTTGAGGTTACTAGTGTATTAAATAATCTAGGTCCTATTTAGGATTATATCTGAAAAATCAAAATCTGGCCAACGCCCACCCTAAACCTAAACCTGTTCTAATCCACCTGAAATGACTAACGTATGGAAGACTTTGACTACCCAGCCATGCAATAGTCTCATTCCGTGCCTTATGGCAACTTGATGATTCTATTGCGCTCATCTTCTTGCACCACCCAGGGGAGACTTGGTCCTGTACCCAATGCTTAACTTATCTCCTTTCCACTCAGCTACTCGCAATTTCTTGTGATATAGTGGGCGGAATATTATTATATGAGACAATTCAATGCAGACGTCTTTCCAAATTTGGCAGATCGACAGGTAATCGGTGAGTTACCACGATAGTTGCTATTCCACAACTCGACAACGTCCCATCGTCAACGCCTGCTATGAGAATTTCCCATTGCAGACGCCAACGAAATGACGTCATCGAGCTATCGATCAACTACCCTGGTTATCGCCTGGTACCTTATAGCACGATGCTAGGAGGCGAACCGGAAGAATCGATGAACTACCTCCCCCAATTTCCAACAAATAATAATTATGTTAGATAAACATGGACGACACTATGCGATCATCATTAACTTAACGTGGCATTAAACTCATATTTGGCCTTGATAATCAACATTTAAAAGTATCCGGATTTCAATGCATTATGATACTGGTCCTTATCTTGAAATTTATTAGAATCAGCTTCTTAATTTTATGATTTTTTTTTCTTTCTGTAAACATACTTACCAATCAGTCTAAGGCCTGGTTATCCCTTGCTGTACACAGAACACAGAAGTTGTCTCCATTTCACTCGATCCATGGCGAACCTTGGGAGACAGAAATAGAGGGAGATGCCTCTTTCTAATTCATCAGTTGGTCATCAGTTATGGTCATTTGTGACTTGTTCTTTGATTAGACATAAACTCATGACCATTTACGTGAGAGGCATAGACAGTGTTGGCAAAATTATCAATCAAATGACATTTTTACACTCTCATAGGCTCTCAATATCACGCATGATATTGGAGCAAAATATCATGCTTGATATTGATTTTACAAGCTCCTTTGATATTGCAAGACTATTCACAACGTGTAAAGTTGAAGCTGAGAGTTGAATCGCCGCAAAAATGATTCCGTTGCACGTCGTTTTCTTAGACAGGTCACCTATGGCAGACACGAAGCGACTGCTGCCACCCGTTATGCGCCAGTTTCGGTTGCGTTCGGGTGTAACTTAAAATTCATGAAACTCAATCGTTAGCTTGATATTCCGAGCTGCGGTGTCACAGCTTGCAATAGTAACCGCAAATGTTTGCGTGTTGCTTTTTGTCTACGAAAATCAAGCGTGATCTTGATTTTTTTGATATTTTTCCAACACTGGGCTAAACACTATGCTAGGCCCTTTTGCTACCTAAGAAGAATATATTTTCATGATTTTGAATATTTTATAAATACAAGGGTCTTAGTTTTGTGAAATTCAATTACTAAATTTTTTGTTGAATGTTACTTATCCCGCACTTACAATCCCGATCCATATTCAGAGTTACAGGACAGCATGGGATTTAATAACAAACGCTTATCAAAATTATCAAAATTATTGTATCCCTAACGTTCATTATGCCGTATTATTATTAACAACTTGTAACCTTTATTCATCTTCTTATTTTCCGTCTCTTCAGGTTATCGTCTATCCCACGCGCGACAGTCTCCAGCGGATGGGTGCCATTGTGATACTAACCGGCATCTGGATCATCTCGCTGATCCTGGCCTCGCCGATGTTCATCACCAGACGGTTGATTCACTACGACGTGAATTTCTCCAGCCTGGGAATCGAGTATGTCTCCTACTGCATCGAAGACTGGCCAATGGCCCGCGGTCGAGTGTACTACTCGGTGTTCACCCTGTGCGTCCAGTACGTTCTACCTATTCTGATAGTTTCGATAGCCTATCTTCGAATTTATCTCAAACTTAAGCACCGCCTAGTGGTTACAACCACCACCATTAGTACCAATGCCAATTCGAAGGACTTACAACCCGTCCGGGAACGAGAACGGGGCCGGCGGATGCAACGAACCAACTATCTACTGATTAGCATAGCCTTGATCTTCGGAATCTCGTGGCTTCCGTTGAACCTGTTCAACCTGTTTGCCGACCTGTACCTGAGCGGCATCACTCAGGAGATCATGGTTGCATACGCCATCTGCCACATGATGGGCATGAGCTCGGCATGCTCCAATCCGCTGCTTTACGGTTGGCTAAACGATAACTTTCGTAAGGAGTTTAACGAAATCCTCTGCCGAAAGGACACGAACACGGTCGTTGCGAACGGCGGTGGAAATACCAACTCGCGAAAAGTTCGAACTACGGGAGCCGCACCGGAAGTAACGCAGGTGGGCGACATGTGTCGACAATCGACCACAATCACAACCGTAGTAGACTCGGGAGACCAAACCGAACTTACCGAGCTAATGCCGTGATTTGAGTAGTGTGCGTGCACGTTTCCCAAAAATTAGATCTTCTACTACTACCCATACTACTACTACTACTACAACTGCTCTACTACCAGCTACAGTTGGACCGAGGTGTGCACTTCACATTAGATGACAATATTGGGGGGTTTGAAATCAAGCTACAGTTCCACACGATTACGCAGCCCACTAGTCATTGATTCAATGTTGGTAAATTATATATATTTTTTCAAACACGTACACATTTGCCGAGTCAACCTTCGTCTCTCTCGTAGCTTTACCTGTTTTCATGTCCTAGCTTTGCTTGATTTCCTGTACGCTGTACGCTTCTATCGACTGCCGTGGATTTATCACCATTTTGAAATCTGTACATCTGAGTTGCCGAGTTTAACTCCTAACTAGGGAAGAGCGCTACTTCGTCGTAATCGCCTATTTCCGTTCTATCGAGCAGAAATCATCAATAATTTCAATGATTTCACAATGCACAAATCAATAATACGTTTGTTCCGATGCTTCAGTTCATTAGCTACAACATAAATCCTATTAGAGCGCATTGTATACATATTTACGCTCATTGTTCTCAAAACAAAAGAAGCTTTCCTAGCGCATCCCCTTTTTCTCCGTTTATCCGTAGGACGAAGAAAATCTAATGGCGTTTCAATGCGTTTGGACGGAATTGAAACGCGTAGGACGAATTTAGAAGCAAGAAGCAGTGATAGATTTTTAATAATATCTCAACATTGTTTGACTCTTTATCAAATCCAATGGTACGTATGGAAAGGTGGATAAATTTAGAAGTTATCTTTGATGTAAACATTCCATGTTTTGTTCAAACCCTTTCCAAAAAGCGTGGTAAAGTCCGCGATGTCCTTAGTAGGACTCTATATTCACTATATTCATAGTCTGGCGGATACAAAATCCGGCAATCTGGCAACTGAGCTTTTTGCAATAACAATTTGGCTAACCCGTGAAAATGCTCATGCCTTTTCAGGACGTTTTCGTATTACGCAAAATAAACATTTTTTATCTTAGCAGTATCGATATCATTCTTTTAATTTAATTCGGAAAAAGAGGCAATAACATCGATCAACTTTTCAATGCATTTGCGAAATTGCCATACTATCCGTACACAAAACTATCAAAAACTATCTTTTCTCGTCTACCGCGTCGATCTTCCTCGTAAAAATGCCAAAATAGTGCATTCAGGAACGCATTGGGTTTGCTTTTTTTTGCTGTAAGTTGCTGTAAGACAATAGTACAGGAATCTCCGATTTGCGCAGTGGCTGATGCCATATACCCACCGTCATTTATCAACAGTCTTTAAACCAATTAAGCTGACTTTTCATGAGTGTAAAGTTTGTGGTTAATTCTAATTACAACCAAAAAAAAAAATCATCTCAATTGTTTGAAAGATTGTTGAGAAATGGCGGTGGGTAGACGGCACCACCCATCGCGTGAATCGGGGATTGCTGTATTATTTTCTTACAGATACTTACAGCAAAAGCAAAAAAGCAAGTACGGGAACAATCATATTGATAAACAACAGTAATCCCTCCACCCATCGCTATCTCTCGGCTGTCTATCAAACAATTGAGTTGATTTTTTGTAGATAACTGGCTAATGGTTGGGACTAAACACATACAAAAAATCAGCGTAATTGGTTGAAGGAGAGCCGAGAAATAGCGGTGTTACCATAACTTAAGGGATTACTGTTGTCCCAAAATTGGTTTCATCGTTGATCGATTAAATTATCGTCACGATCACAATACTTCCACCACATCAATCTTAATAAAATATGGTCATGATCGGTTGGCTCCCGCTAGTGAAGAGTCAAATTGGCTCCCGTTATTGTCTCCGCCAGACTATTAATATAGTGACTATACTCCTAACCAGTACTGGCAAATTTCCTATTCGTCATGATAGAACAGTCAAAATTAGAGTTGTGGTACCAGTTTTACCGGTAATACCGGTTAATTTTCTGGTACATAAATACCGGTACTGGCATGTGAATATACCGGTATTTTCGATGTTGGTAATTTCTTACAGCATTTTTAGTAGCACTGTCAACGAGTAATGATTTTGAAATATTTTATAAAACATCCGGAACTGTCAGCTTCAAAAACCTATTGTAGGTATAAATCTTCTTGAACCAACAAGCTGACACAGAACAGAAGTGGAAGTGCGAAAGAATCTATGAACAGTGAGCGCTGTGCTCAACAGGGACTTAAGCTTTCTTCAAACATTAGCGTTGGTACGCAGCATCCAGGCGTCCAGCATCGATTTTTGATCTCTAAACCTCTCTACAGTCTACACCCCTGCTTCTAAAATACTCATATTGTACAACAACATCCTACTTTCCAGACTTAACATATTCAGGAAGTTCGCATGCACATTAGCGTCACGTAGTGAAAGAGTTGGTTACCCGAACAGCTTTGCTCAACTTTCTATATGGTCATGATCACGAGAGTGTCCCGCCATTTGGTCGAATGCCGTTTGGCCGAATGTAATTTGGCCGAAGCCGTATTGCCGAATACCGTTTGGCCGAATGGGTCGTTTGGCAGAATGCCGTTTGGCCGAATACTTGAAAAGAGATTTCCAATTTTTGAACACTACTTGAACCTAAATAGCAGCCCTGTGAACTTTTTTTTTTTTACTTTCCACAATTATGGTTGTCGATGAATTCATTATTCTTATAAAGATGAACTTTTAGTTATGTATGTAATTAGTATTTTTTTAGCAACCCTTTTTAACATGAGCAGCTCCTTAGAGTTTTGATGATCTTATTATTTTTTACACAGTAAACGCAGGTTGTTAAAAAATTGAATTAAAAATTATTTTAACAATTTTAAAAGATGTTTCCTTCTTTCAAACATGAGCAGTTATTTTGAGTTTTGTTGTTCTAGTTATTTTGTGCACAGTGAACGCAGCTTGTCATAAAAATAAGGCTAATCAGAATTTAATAAAAATAGGAGGTTTTTCTCCTATTCCTTCTTTGGAGTTTTGTTGTTCAGCATTCGGCCAAACGACCCATTCGGTCAAATGGCATTTGGCTAAACGGCATTCGGCCGAATGACCCAAAACCATCACGAGATATATAGCTCCCCTCATAAGTAATATAAAATGGAAACGCCTCTAGCGCACAGTGGCACAAATCTGCACACTTAGAAATACTTCATTTTAAACGTGACAGAATCCATCTTTGACATAAAAGATGAGACGTAAACAAACATATCATGTAAAATTAAGTGCTCTGGGACTAAAAAGTTCGTTACTCGACGAAAAGTACGCTTGATTGAGCTGAATTTCGCGTCTATTATGACTCAATTTTATATAAAAATTGACGCTATGTAAGTCTCAGAGCACCTAAATTCACATGAGTGTGTGCATAAAGACGGTCAAAAACATTTTCTACCGTTTTTTATGATTTAGAGACTAGGTATCTTGGGAGAAGTTGCTCAAAATGATATCCCGCATTTTTTGAAATACACACCTGAATAATCATTAAGCTAGTATTACACATCCAAGTTAATTAATTAATTAATTTAGCTTTATTTAGGAGGCTTTCAGCCTTAGGCTGGTTCGCCTCCAATACACATCCAAGTTCTAAATTTTTGCAGTTACGAGATAACGGGTCTATGTCTTTGACAAAGTTACAGAACAGTTGATTTTATGAACATTTGCTGAAGACACAGGTTTCTACATCCTAACACTAAAGAGATATAATTGATTTCCTTTTAGGACTACTTTAATATTTGTTTTTTGAGTTAATTAGTGTTTTTTTTTTTTTTTTAATTTTATCAATTCATTATGTTCTAGGAAATTCATCAAGCGTTTTTGTGACGTAATATTTAACGACGCGAAAATAGGGTATGTGGGCCTTGGTGGGGTTTTATTGCTCCTGAAAATTTCAGCGTTGGGTATCGAGGGGTATCTAGTAAAATCTCAATTCGAAATAGTCAATGTTATATATAATCCATCAATCGTCTTTTGTGACGTCCTATTGAACGGCTATTCAAAGGTCCAAGGGGTACTTAACTCTGCACACTGTGCCAAAACACAGTATGCCACATTGAGCGGCACAGTTGGGCGCACACTGACAAGCAGGACACAAACAATATAATACAAAACGGCATCACTGTTGAGTGATGACGTTTCGCTAATCGTTGCAAAGGTTGACTACTTTGTTTACCTCGAAGTGAACCTAGTACTAGAAAATTATATTCCACACTTAAAACTTAAAACTGGTGAAACTGCTGTTTAACCAAGGATTTAAAAATGGAAAACGGATGCCCAACGTGTTCAGGGATCGTTCCTTGCAAAAGTTAGAAAAATACTGTAAGTATTCTCTGAACCATGATCTCTTCACAACAAGCAAAACTTAGATCAACTCATCCGATTCACAGCGAAAATCCTAGCGGCTCTTATTCAGAACAACTTCAATTTAGGCCTCACACCTACCGAGTCCTTCTTCCACACGATGGCCGGACGAGAGAGTCTTATCGATACGGCAGTCAATACGACCGAATCGGGTCATCTCCAGTGATGGTAAAATACCTGGTAGATCTGATCGTATTGATCTGATTTGGTTCGAAATGCGATCGGTGGAACCGTTGAGTGTACCTATGGTGCAGACGGGTTGGGTCTTGTGTTCATGGAAATCAAAAACAATTCGGTAGACATTCAACGTCAGTTTATGCAAGATCGCAATCCAAATCCCTGTATGGACGAAAATTCTCTGAACGTTATAAAAATTGTTAGGCCTGTGGATAAAATTTCGAGGAAGTTTGATCTCGTATCATCGTAAATTGCTCATACATACCGACTACACTGGATAATGCTATAATAGGATTCCTATGGCTATGGAAATAAGAAGCTGGTCAAACCGACCAACACGGTTTCGCCAGTGCCCGCCCGCCCCTTGC